TTGTGTAATAATAAAGTTTCATGAGAAAGAAGCACCAGGAGGCAGGTATTAGTAGGTGACACAAAGGACAGAGTTATCAACTCTGCTTGGGAGAGTTAGAAGATTCTTTTTAGGGCAATGCATGTGCTCACAACACCTTCTTTTGAAAACTACTGTAATGCAGTTTTATGATTCCTTGTTTGCTTTTTAGCAAAGCACGTGTTCTTCCCACTTGTACAACTTGTCTACCCCTGGAGGCTAACACATCAGTCCATTAACAGTTATTAGCACCTTACAATGAATCAGCTGATCAGATGGATGCTTTTCTTGAGAGCCTTGAGAAGAAAGGAGAGTGGGGTGGGAGAGTGGGGTCGGGGTGAGGAGGGAAGAAAGGAAACTTCTGGAGCAGGAGGGACACAGGCCAAAGGAAGCAGCAACAGGATGGAAGAGCTGTAACTACTGGAGGAGGGTGGGCTCTGGGCAACTGGAAAGGTGACACCCAATGCCAATCTCTACAAGGAAGTAGGAAGGCTCTAGAAATGAACCTGTCCACTTCCCAGCTTTCTAATCGTGGATTAAATGTCCCACCTGGTGCTCTGTCCCATCCACTGAGTAGGGATGGAACATAGCACCCCTAGAAGATCCCAGAGAAGAGAGAATGAGGCTGCAGGGCTAGTAAACACAAAGCCCATGGAAAGAAGTGAAAGGAACTGGATTTATTCCAGATGGAGGTGAGAAAGTTGGTGATTACAAATATTAGAAGCCTCTGAGTATATAATGGGAAATTGTTAAGAAGTCCAGCCAGGTGTCTTCATTGCCAGCAATATCAGAACAAGAGGAAATTGACTGAATCCGTGGAAAGGATTTAGGTTCGCTATAGAGGATTCCCAAGATGGCTGTTGGCATAAAGTTCTTAAACACGGGATAACTTCTCATCCGGGATTATGGAAAATGTAAGTGTGCCTTGGGGCATGGGATCAGTCTTTTAAGATCCTTCTCAGGTTTACAAATAACATCTGAAGAGCGCTCTGCATTTGTGCAAGATGGTTTCTTCTTTATGAGCTCTTTGTCATCCGTTCATTTGTATTTCCTTCCTCACAAATCTATTACCATAAATGGATTTTAACTCATTGTTGTAATGATCTTTAAAACTGATCTAGCCTTTAGTTACAATCATTATCAATTACTATTCCTTTCTGAGAGCTTACCCGTGGTGACGGTGGGTGGCATCTCCTGTGATTAACGTCTACCAGGGATGTACCTCAACAACAGCCTATTAGATGAGGAAGTAGAAGTGGTTCGATATGGAATATATGTATCATAGTAGCTATCATTTATTGAGCACTGATGACGAGTTAGGGACCATTCTACACAAAGTACATCTTTCATGTCACTTAGTCCTCAACCCATTTTTCAAGTGAGGACTCTGGCACAGAGAGCATCTGTAAACTGCTCAAGGTTATACATTCAGTAAATAAAGGAGCTGGAATTCCAGCTAAGGCATTCTAGCTCCAGAACTTGTGCACGTAAGTCCTGTGCTATGGTAGTTCCTGAAACGGCCACGAGAAGTTGTATAGCACGTATAGAGTGGTACAGATATGGGAATAAAACTCTCGAAGGGATGTTTCTGAGCTAGAGGAAAGGGAGGGTGGGGAGAGAAAAAGAACAGGTGGCAGGAGTGGTCGATGGGATTACATCCCTCCCAGGAAGGGATATTCAGAGACTTTCCAAATCCAGCCAATCTGGCCTGCTCCATTTGGCGGAGGCTCGTCTCTTACCAGGATGTGAGGCACCCGAGAACCGTGAGGTGCTGGCAAATAGTGGGTGTTTCTATGCCGTCACCAGCCCGAGTTGTCCTCCTGCATAAAGTCCCCATCAATTTCTCTTCTGCGAGCAAATATTGCACTTAGAGTTCAGCTAAGAGGACACGAGTGTGTGTATGAGTCTAGTCTATGTCCATAAACACTGCCAGGGTAAGAAGATGACTTTGTGGGCATCTATGTCGTCTCCCAGAACAGAGCAGGCAGCTAGTTTTACGCGGTAGGCACATATTAAACACCTGTGGGTGGACTGAAGAAAGCATGTCAGAGTTCCTGTGATGGGGGTGAGGGGTGTGATGTGGTCAAGGAACAAGGTAGGAAATGGACTCTGGCTGAGGAATGACTTAGTGGGTTGGCTCTCTTTGATGTGAGAGTGAGAATTACTACCATCAAAGCGAATGTGCCACAGTGTGGGTACCAGCAGTGCACGGACCACCCAGGCTGTGCCAGTGGCAGCAGTCCCTTAGTGGGTAGTCTATGGGTAGTATGTTAGACAAGACAGGAATCTTTATGCAGGTCATGGAGAGGCCCGAGCGTGGTCACCCTGAGGACAAGGCTCCAGGAATGTTCTGGTCCAGGCAAGGATAGAAGAGGTGAGGTAGAGATCAGTGGCAGCTGCCATGCCACCGCCAGGCATATAGGGAATGACGTCTAGCCGGGCTCTCTCAACAGGGTAAAGAGCAACAGCTGGGACCTCGGCAGGTGGCATCAGAGGGCCCCACTCAAGCAAACAGCCTTCTGATGAAGGGTAACTTGTGAGTCAAGATGAAGAATGTGTTTTCTGGTAGATGAAGGTGGTGGAAAGACCACTGGGGGTCTTTGAGTGAGGGTCACTTGATAAGCCGTGGCCACTTTGGAGGCACCTTCTGGAGCAGCATGAGCAACTCAGGAAGCCAGCATTGGAACGGATTCTCAGGTGCTCCAGGCACTGGTGTCACCATGAGGAAAGTATGCAAGTACCAAAGTGGGGAAAGCTGGCTTTTGGCAGCTTCCCGTTCCTCTCGCCCCTATTCCCTGTACTCTCTGATTTCACAAGGCGGCCCCAGGAGCTCGCACGGCCCTGCTGCACAGCGCCTGCTCTGGAATGGCCGCTGACTGTCACGTTAGGAAGTACTGCGCACGGATGTACAAACAACCCGCATGCTTTAACTGTTCCCCGGTAGCGATCTGCATCTTAAGAGAGAAGCGTGTTAATGCCCCTGAGATCTATCTGATCAGGCAGTGGAGTCTTGCCAGCTGGGCGGTCTTCAGCAGGACATTTTCCTTCCTTGTGCTGCAGCCTCATCATAGGAACACTCAGGAGGAAACTGCTCGTCCTCCTGCCACCAAATCTACCCACCCACTGCGTCCTTAGCCACCTCCTGCTACAGTGGATGGATGGCCCCAGGGCCTTTCTAAGGCCTGCCCTCCCTAGCACCCTACTCCCAGCCCCATTCGCTCCGCAAGGACATCATTTCTGTCCTCATTCTTTCTTAACTCATTCTCGTCATCAATAAACACTGTGTCAAAAATATTTGTTAAGCCATCCAACACATATTTTGGGGGGAAAAAAAGGCACTAATTTCTCTTGACCCTACAGCCTCTTTTAGCCACCACAGCCCCGTTTCTCTCTCCCCTTTCCAGCAACTACTGTCCACTTTCTCTCGTCCCGTGTGCTCTCGAGCCCACTCCATTCAGGCTCCACCCCCACCGCCCCACAGCATCTGCTTGCACCAAGGTCGCCTCCATGCTGCCACCTCAGTGGCCATCTCTCGGTCCTCAGCTCCCTGGTCCAGCAGGCCAGCGGCATTCGAGCAGGTGGTCTCCTGTGCTTGCATGAAACACTCTTCCTGCCTGGCCTCTGGGAAACACTTACTCTGGGTTCTCCTCCTACCTCCCTGGCCAGCTCTCCTTCTCCCTTGCTGACTCCTCCTCATCTTCTCCATCACCAGGCACCAGACAAACCCTGATCTTCCCCCCAAAACCTGCTACTCCCTCAGCCTTTGTCGTTTCGGAAGATGAAAATTCCATTCTTCCAGCTGCTCAAGACAAATCCTCATATCTATCCCTGACCCCTCTTGTCCTCTCACACGCCAAACCCACTCCGCAATCCAATCCTGTTGGCTGTACCTCCTAGATACATCCCACTCTGGCTCACTTCACGCCACCTCCGCCACCATCTAAGCCGCCATTCGAGCCCATCTAGACTATTGAAACCAACACTAGCCTGTTTTCCCTGGTTCCACTCTTGTTCCCCACCCCTTCTGTCTACTCACCTCACAGCCACCAGAATGACCTTTAAAAATGTCAAATATACAACCTCTGCTTACATCCCTCCCAGGGCTGCCCACCTCATTCGGAGCAAAGTACACAGTACAGTTGGAAATGAGGGCTCCAGCGCTCCCTGCAATCTGAGACCCCTACTTCTCTGCCCCTTCTCCTCTCTCACTCCCCTCCCCCTGCACTGGCTTCCTTGCCGTTCCCTGTGCAGGGACCAAGCTTACACCTGCCTTGCTGCCTGTCCCCTGTTGTGCCTCTGCCTGGAAAGTTCTCACCACCAGTATGCACGTGGCTCTGTGTGCCAAGCACCTATTCTGCGTGACAAACCACCCCAAAACTTAGTGGCTTAAAACAATGACAATATTTATTTTACTTAGGAGTCTTCAATGTGGGCGGGGCTCTGCAGGCATAGCTCAGCTCTGCACCCGTTGGTGTCAGCTGGAGTGGCTGGGCAGCTGGGTTTGCCCTTCTCCGGGTCTGAGAGTTGAAGTTGGCTGTTCCAAAGGACTTCAGGTGGTGTCCCAAACACCTGCCTACCTCTTACTCTCTCCACGTGGCTGCTTAGCTTCCTCACAGAATGTCGATTGGGTTCCCACGGCGAGCATCTCAAGAGAACCAGGCGGAGTGTATGGCCTGTTACCAGTTAGTCTCAGAGCCACATAGCATCTGTTACACTGCGGTCACAGGTCCACCAGACGCAAAGGGAGGGGACGCAAACCCCACCTCCCGATGGAGGAGAGTAAGTGTGATGGGAGATACTGGTGGGGCCACACTCTTTCTCACCGTTTTCTGATAAACTTACATAAAATAAACTCACCTGGGAATATCCTCTCTCTCTCTCTTTCCCTTGATTTAATCTTATTCATAAAATTCTTTACCACATGTAAATAGTCCATGAATATTTGTTAAATAAATGAATAAATCATCACCACAACAAAAAAGATGGCGGGTAATGTTTATCGAGAGTTTTCTATGTGCCAGGTATTGAGAAAAATATCTACACATATTATCTCCTTTACTTTCCCCCACATCTCTGGGAAGTAAGTATGAGGACTCTACTGATGAAAAACTGAGGCATGGAAAAGTTCACACAACTGGCGAGAGGTGAGGCTGAGGTTCGAAGCCAGGCAACTTCTTCCTGCTGCTGCAGGGTAGAGCTAAGGTGGGCCGAGGTCCACGAGTTTGCCTTCGCCCCAGTCTTGGCAGGAAGCGCTGCTGTGTCAGGGCCAAGGCACTGGGGTGGCGTGTTTAGCTGTGGCTGGAGGGCCAAGGATGGCCCTGGGCGCTCCCTCAGAGGTCCCGCAAGCGCTGGGTGGGTGTGGCTGTGTCCTTTACGTTTCCCTCCCATTTCCTACTTTCTTTCCAGTCTGGGTGACTGTTGACGCCATCTCCGTGGAAACCACACAGGACGTTCTTCGGGCCGCCCGGGGAGCCAGTGTCACCCTTCCATGCACCTACCACACTTCCGCCACGGATCGAAACGGACTTATCCAATGGGATAAGCTTCTCAGGAGTCATTCGGTAAGCGTCCTTAACAAGTTCAGGGGGCCATGGGAGCCATTATCACTTGACCATGACCTCTTGGAAGGCAAGCACTACAAAGTCTTTCAACAAATGTCAAGTGGAATGAAGGTTAGCTCCCAAGCTGGGGTGTATGGGGAGGCCGTGGTGATGCTGGACCTATGGAGGGTCAGATTACGTCACCTTTGTTTTGAAAAAGTCGCCTCCCCTAAAATATCTTTCTGTTGGCCAGTCTCAAATGACCTAAATTGTACTATTCAAGTCAGTCACTCCTTTTGATTAGCACAGCCCTCACTCTGAGGCCAAATTTTATTTTACAGAGCAGTTTTTTCCCTCCTGTTTGGATTCTTTTGGAGGATGTGGAGGAGTTTTGTTTTATTTTCTAATTCTATTTTTAAATGGATAATATAATCCCATGGTTTGAAAACATCATGAAAGGTGTACACTGAGAAGGCTCACTCCTATCCCTGCCCCGCCAGTCCCACCACCCTGCTCCCACACCCTCATCCCTCTATTCCCCCCACCCTCCTCCACCCCCGGCCAGGCACATACACACATAGGTATCATGTGTCTATGCACACATGCATATACATATATGAGTACACATGTTTACATATACTACATACATACTGTTCTGCACTTGGCTTTTTTTCTTTTAACAATGTATCTTGGCCTCTTTCCATATATGCAGTACACTTGTATCTCATTTTTTCAACATTTGCAAAAAGCACTTCATTTTATGAAAGTACTATATGTACCATTGATGGACATTTGGTTGGTTTCTTATATTTTGCTGCTACAAATAATGCTGCGATAAATATAAATATCCCTGGCCCGGCATGGTGGCTTGTGTCTGTAGTCCCAGCTATTGGGTGACTAAGGCAGGAGGGTCACTTGAGCCCAGGAGTTCCAGGTTATAATGAGCTATGATCGGGCCACTGCACTCCAGCATGAGCAACAGAGAGAGATTCTGTCTCCAAAAAAACCAAAAAAACAAGGTCTTTAAAAATGCAAACACTCCTGGCAGAAGTAAACATGAGGTCCCTGACCACTCAGAGTGGAAAAGGACTTAGCTTCTTCTCTGACGAGAGAGAAGGGGTGAGTTACCTCGGCACCCAGAAGAGTGTCAGGCATAGACTTTACATCTGGTTTGCTAAATACCTGTGACGCTGAAAGAAGGTTCCCTGCAGTTCCTGCAAGCCAAAGGCAGCAGCTTTCCTCTTCAGGTTTGTACCCCGGGACTCTGGGAGCCCCCAGGAGAGGTGGCCATGGCTCGTAAGGTGTTCCTTGGCGCATCAAGCCAAGACTTGTTCTCCTTCCCTGTCCGTCCTGCTTCTCTGGGACTCAGGAGTCCTGGGCCACCCCAGGGAAGGAGAACAGATAAGTTCCAAAGGCAAGAGTCAAGTACACAAAGGGGGCTTGGAAGCCAAGGGTGGCTGCCTAGCACGGTGCCTGGGACACGGTAGGTGCTCAGTAAACACTGGTTACCGAATGAGGGAGAGTAGAAAATGGACTGAAATGGAATGGACAAGAGAGATGCCAGAGGTCACAGAAGGTGAAAGTGTTGGGATGTGAGATGGCCCCATTTCCCCTCAGGCGCTCCTGCGGTATGACCTGCCTACCTGCCCCCACCCCAAGTCTTTCAATATTTTCATTTAAAAAAATTTTGTTTAAATGGATATAAAATAACAAAAGAAATTCACAAACGGGTAGCACGTCTTGGAGTGGTTTGTTCTGAGGGGTGGTGTGCTGGGCTCTGGGAATGTGGATGAGGGTAGTCAGGAGAGGCGGGAAGCACCATGCCAGGGCCTTGGGGTGAAGACCAAGTGGCATTTCTTCTTCCTCCCAGGAAAAAGTGGTCATCTGGAATTTTGAGACCAAAACCTACACCTATGGTGACCTGTATGAGAACCGTGTCAACATTTCGAAAAATGCCGAGCAGTCAGACGCCTCCGTCACCATCAGTCAGCTGACCATGGATGACAACGGCACCTATGAGTGCTCCGTCCTGCTGATGTCAGACCTGGAGGGCACGTCCAAGTCACGCGCCCGCCTCTTGGTCCTCGGTGAGTGTCTCCATTTCTTTCATGAGTGGTAGGAAGAGGGAGAAGCACTCTGGTGCAAGATGAAGCCAGAGGTAGCACCGTGTCCTCCCATAGTCCGGTCTCTCTAAGGGCAGGGGCCGCCGGTCCTCCCTTTCAGCTGAAGAATACTAAGTTCTCCACGAGCTACAGATGTCCCCCGTGGCAGAGGAGAGGCTGATTTGGAGTGGGCCCCTGCTCTGTCTGGTGTTCTTTCCCTGCAACTGTTCTCATTTTCATACCATACCTATAAAGGGAAGAAAGAGGAAAATCTTAAATTCCATTGCAAAGACCCATTGTGCTTTAATCTGGTCCTCTGAGGGCGGCATTGTGACTCTTACAGGGAGTACACCTTTCCCTCTCCTAACTTCAGCGACCCAGCGCAAGCCCTTCGCACCACCTCTGCACGTCCGCAGCCCCCAACAGACACACCGTCAACCAGGTTCTGCTGCCTTGGAAGTTTGCCCTAAGATACCATGCTCTTCACAGGAATGACTTTGTATTGGAATTTATAGTTTGGGAAGGATACGAAAGATCATCTACTTTCATAACCTCATTTTGTAGATGAGGCCCAGAAAGAGGCAGCAACTGACTCTGCTTTTTGGTGAACACTCAGTCTATGTCCAAGATAAGAAACAGCACCACCCCTGGGAGGCAGCAACACTTTAAACCAAAAGAGTTGATCATTTTTCCGTTTTCCTTTTCTCCCTTACATTACTTGATGGGATTTTATTTTTTAACTGCACAAGGTGGTTGCCTGACTTTTGGAAAGCATTATATAGTGAATCGAACTATACAATTACACAAACTAGCACTGCATGAAGAATAACTCAGAACTCCTCCTTCCACCCTACCGCCAATGAGGTAGCCAATGGCAACGCAGGGGGGTATTCTTCCCTACTACTCCTCATGTCCTGTCTACACGCACGCACGCACGCATGCTCTTTCTTTTCTCTCAAAAAATGGATTCATATTATAAAAATCACTCTGCAACTTACTTTTTTTTTAAACAATGTTTCATGCATATTTCTCCAGATGAACACATAGATCTCCCTGTTAACAGCTATACTCCGTCATATGGCTATACCATGATTTATTCAATTGTTCCCTACTGATGGATATGCGCGCTGCTTCCATTTTTTTTTTGTATGAACAATATACTACAATATACACCCCCCCACACACACACATGCAGAAATGTATGCTGGGAGGTCCCTTAAATAGCTCCCATTTTCTTCAGCGAAGGTAAGTGCTAGCGTGGACTCCAACCCCCTCTCCCGTAAGCATAAATGCCATCGAGCCCCCTTTCCCCCTTCCAGGGCCAGAGGAATCAAGTTTAATCTGAGATGATGGAACTTGGTGAGACCAATGTTCTCCTTTTTTTAAAAAAAAAGGAAGGAAGGAAGGAAGGAAGGGAAAGAAAGAAGACAGAAGAAAGAAAGAAAAGAAAAAGAAAGAAAAGAAAGAAAGAAGAAAGAAAGAGAAAGAAAGAAAGAAGAAAGAAAGAAAGAAAGAAAAAGAAAGAAAGAAAGAAAAAAAAAGAGCGAGAGAGCCCATTTTGTGCTACGTGTTAAGAAATCCAGTAAAAATTAAAAAAAAAAAAAAGTTTTCTTTCCCATCGGCTTTGCAGCTGGTCTATTTTTAGGCAGAGGGTTTTAATTATACGGGGCCGGCCCACTCGGGCTGGGTGACCTCCCAGTAAACCGAGGCGAGCAGGAAGCTCCCAGGTGGGCCTCGGCCGCGCAGCCCCGCCGCGGGGAGCGCGCGCCGCCCGGGTCACCGACCTTCCCTGCGCCGCGGGCGGGACCGGCCGTCTCCTCGGCCTCTGGCGCCCCCTGACGTCTGCAGCGGGAGTTGCAGGCTTCGGAGAGGTCTTGGAGCCAGCGCGGCCCCGTCCCCTCCCTCCCCACGCCTTCTGCCTCATCTACATTCGGCTTGGTCGGTAAGACGGGCCAGCTGAGAGCGAGACAGCAAGGCCCGGAGGTCTCCCGGCCCCCACACGCGTGGAAGAACGACTTGGACTAGATCTGTCTGATTCAAGATCCTCATTGTTTTTAATGGTGGGGGCTGTGAAGACAGACCTTAGCGAGGGACCTGGACCAGTGAGGCCCAGCGTCTGCCATGAGGCGGGAGGGGAGTTTGGGGGCTGAGGTTAAGGGCCAGGGGAGAAAGGACCTGACACATTCCTCCCTAAAGCTGAGCTCTTTAGGGGTAGCTGGCCCCTTCTTTGTCGTTATTACTACTTCTGTCTCTGGAGGGAATTAAGGATTTGCTCTTTGCATTATAGTTCTCCCTTAGCAAACGGCATTGTAACGCAGAGCTGGTCTTTGGATGCATTCACGTGCTTCTTTATGCTTTCGTAGTTGACGGTGGGCATCAGTCGCTTTCTTTCCCTTTTTGTCCTGTATCCCAAAGAAACCTGGTCGTAGGAAGGCTCTGCTATCACTCGTGCACACTTAGTTTATGCCTTTGGGCAGACCTGGGACTTCTCAGGTGGTCTTGGTATTTCAGGCCGGCTCTCTAATTGTGGAAGACAGGCTTAGCCTCCTGTTTAAGGCATTCCTGGGAACAAGGGTGATTGGTCTGGTTGGGTAGACAGGGATGTTTCTGGACCTCTAAAGAGCTCAAGAGATAAAGTTTGGCTCGGTAAGCCTGTCCTAGAGCAGGGTCCCCTGGGAAGTGCTCACCTTCTCTTGTCCTCTGGGAACCTGCTCGCTGGGCCAGCAGGGTGAGCAGGAGGGCTGCAGGTTGGAGTGGTCCTTGGAGGCAGCTTCTCCCTCCCCACTCTGCTCCAGTCCCAGGGTCCAGGCCAGGACAGATGTAGCCTGGCCTGGAGCCTGCGCCTCTTAGCTTTAGGGACTGTGCAAGCGGGAGTGGCAGCTAGGGAGGGCCTCTCGTTTCCCTCCTGTTCGCCCCACACCTGGCTGGCCCTCACGACGGCAGCAGGAGATGTCAAGCACACCCCACAACAGCCTGCCTGTTTCCGAGACGAGACACTGTGGCTGCTGGGCTAGAGGGGAGAGGTGTGTCCAGAGAGCTTCTCCCGGTGACTTCTGGGAGGGGCTGAGATCGGAATGCCTGCCTGATGCTCGGTGGCCCACTGTGCACCTGGACTGTAGAACAGGCAGCACTGTTCGTCGGCAAGCCAGCCATCGAAGGGGGCATGAAAAGAAAGATGCAGAGGGGACAGGCCGGCAACCCATAGATTCCAATAACAACCTTCTCCATGGTAGGTCCTCCCTTTCTTGCCCCCAAGAACACTACCTGAAGTCTCAAGCATACGCCATCCTTCTTGTCCCAGAGCCTTTGCACATGCTGTTTTCTCTGCCTGGGGTGCCCTCACTTCTCTTTCTCTGACGACCATCACCACCTCCACCGTTGGCCCTGTTCACACTCACACTCCCTTCAGGTCACAGCTGACGCTGCGTTGGGTCAGTGCTGGGGCCTTCCCTGCCCCTGCAGCCTTGCCTCCTGCCTGGTCACTGTCCGAATACTGGTCTTTTGCCCCTACTGCGTTCCTTGACTCACTCACTGTGTCATACCAGTGCCCAGCACTGCCAGGCACACAGCAGGTGCCCAGTAAGGTTTGCAGAAGGAACTGCTCCACACGGTGGTGGGTTAACAATGCTGAGTGAAAGGCACAGGCTTAAGATCCCCAGGAATTTGGGGAGATCAGGTTAGGATTGTGCGTTGAGGATGGCCTGCTGGTTTTGTAACCTCCTCTCTGTGGACTTCCCGTCCTTCTCTCTGCCCCCTGCCCCCTCTCATCCCGCTCTCCGCCCAGCACTTACCTCTACCACGGCCACATGTGGCAATTGCATTTTATCAGCAGAGCACCACAAGAGGGTAATGCCTTAACCCAAAGAGAACATTCCTAAGAAGTTAGAGTTAAAGGGCTTCGGAGATCATTTAACCAACAGGTAGGCAAACTAGGGGCCAAATCCAGCCCACAGCCTGTTTTTACGTTTCTAAAGCATTATTAAAAAGAAAAAGAAGCAGCAACAGAGATGACATATGGTCTGAAAAGCCTAAAATATTGCCTTCTGGCCCTTTACAGAAAAGGTGTGTTGTCTCCTAATTTTACAGATAGGAACTCTGAGGTCCAGAGGGATTGAGGATTTTCCTAAAATGGCACAGATGAGCCCATGACACAGGGAGCTCATGTGGGCTGGTAGAGAAAGCACTGGGCCTGGAGTCACAAGACCTGGATTCTAGTCCCAGCTCTGCCAGGACCTATGAACAAGTGTCCTCTCTGGGCCTCAGTATCCCCACCTGTAAAATGGCCATGTTGAACTATCTTTAAAATCTCATGACTCTAGAAAACCCATGAAACTACACCTTTTAAAGCTACTGTAGCCAGCCCATGACACTTCCCACTGTATGTACTGCCTCTCTGTGATGGGGGCAGGCCACCAAGGAGATATTTTGGGGTCAATTGGTTTTATAGCATTACATCTCACCACTAAGCTATGGATTTCTCTGCCTGTAACAGACAAGGCAGTCCATGCGTGTTTGGGGTGGCACCTGATTTATGCCTTCTCTTTGCTCCTCCTCTACACAGTGCCACCCTCCATACCAGACTGTAGCATCCAGGGAGAAACCATAATTGGGAACGATATCCAGCTGACCTGCCAATCACAGGAGGGCTCCCCGGCCCCTCAGTACAGCTGGAAGAGGTACGACATCCTGAACCAGGAGCAGTCACTGACTCAACCAGGTAATGGGGTCCGCGGGGAAGGTGGCCCCCACATCAAGGTGTAGCTGATTGGCTAGGGCTGCCAGGGGAGACGTGGGATGACCAATCAGATCCCCCTGAAGGCTGCCCCATCCCCTGATCCCCCCACCCCTGCTGTTGCCACTGTGATATCTGGGCCATCTCTCCAAGCACTGGTTTCTCATAATAATACTTCCTTCATAGTTCCGATGAGAAATAAAACCAATTGCTGTAAAGCACTCAGCAGAAGCACATAATAAATGCTAAATTGTTTTCTCTATTCCCCATACCTCAATTCTCTTGAATAAGCTTGTATTGACAACCACTTTGTGCGGAAGCACTGGCTGGGGTTTTAATTTTGATTATGATTATGTCCACAGGGATATACTAGTGTATCGTTATGATTATGATTAGGTACGCATGGGAGGCCCCAAGTCCAACTCCGCAGCTGCCCCCAAGGGCGAGGGATTTCCCACGTCCATTCCGCATCCAGGCTGGTCCATCTCAGACTCCACTGACCCCACCGCCCCGAACACACTCCCCGTTATGGCCCGACCCAGTGACACGTCCCCGTCCTGTGAGGGTCCCACGTTCTGAGGGAAGGAGACGGTAGGTTCGGCTACCGTTGCCAGGAGACCCGTTTTGTACTGGGCAGCTTGGTTTTTGACCTCTCAGTAAGGAAACAAACTGCGGGGGGGAAAAAAGAGCTATATAAACATCCTACTGTCCTTACTCTGGAGCCAGCGGGTGTGGACATACCCTGGTGGAATCCCCGAGCCCCTCGCGCCCGCTGCTGCACCCAGTCCCCTGGCGATCAGGAAGGACAAGGCCTGACAGGCGTCCGCTGGGTTTAGCTCCCGGGAGGTCTTTCCGGCTAGCGTGGGAGGAAGAGCAAGCGGGCGGTGGGAAGGTGGGAAGCCAAGCCAGCAGGGCACACAGCTGTGCCCAGAAGGTGAGATTCGGGTTGTGGGAGGAACTGGTGTCCAGGTGAGGCTGGCCGGATGAACACACACACCCGGTCCACTCGGACCAGGATGAACTTTATCGCTCCAACTTTCAGTCGTTTGGTGGCAAACCAATCACTTAATAAAGAAAGCGTTAGTAGAACCCACTCGACCTAATGTAAAATGGAAGAGGTAATGTGGATTTCAACAAGCTTCCAGTTTTGTTTACGTGTTTCTGGTTGGCAAATTTTTGTTGAATGTGTCTGGAATTTTCGTTGAAACCACCTGGCAGCTCTCGTCAGGATCTGGGGCCCCTTCTCTCCGGCCTGTAAAGGACCCGGTGACTTCAGTGGTGGTCACGGTAGGTCTGCTGGGGACGCTGGTTGTGTCTGCGCTTCCAGCAAAGTGTTTATGGGGGACCCACAGCTGGAGGTTACAGGTGATGAGCGCCACAAGAGTGCTGATGTGACACAGAGGACGCGTAAGAGGGTCAAAGATATCCCCAAGGAGGGGCATTGGAGCTGGCAGTACGGCGCGGGGGTTAAGAGCCTGCATGTGCTCGAATCCTGGCTCTGCCACTTGTCAGCTGTGTGGCCTTGGCACGTTACTTCGCTTCTTTTTGCCTTAGTTTCTACACCAGCGAAATGGGCACAATACTAGTGTAACTTCGTAGGGTTGTTGTGACGTGCCTGGTAGAGTAAGCGCTCAATTAATGCTAGGTCTTACTAGCTGTCATTTGAGCTGGGTCCTCAAGGATGAGCAGGCTGGGCAGGGAGAAGAGCACAGAAATCGTGACCGTTGCGTGCAGCTGGGGCCGGGGGCACGGATGTGCAGGAATGGCTGGAAACGCGGTTGGTAGGAAACGCAATGATGAGAGATCGGGGAGGGCCGGTGCTTCCGGCTGGGGTTGCCTCCGCCCCGTAAGCCACGGCTCGGCTCGTTCTGAGCAGCCGCACAGGTGAGCTCCCGGCTCCAGCCCTCCTGCATCCATCGGGAGACTCCTCCTGCCTCCATCGGGAGACTCCTCCGGTTGGTAGAAGCCAAAACTTCGGGTTTTCGGTGATCCCAAAGGGGAGAATCCTGAGGACGTGAGAGGGGGTTAAAGGGAGAATTCTCTCTTTGGTTTGCAAAAGCTTTGTGCCTCTAGTGAAGATTTGCCCAGGCAGAGCGGGGACCTGGGAGTGACAGAAAGGAATGTGGTTAAGGGTAACAAGAACCCGACCTTGCCTCTGCTGCTGCTGTGGGGTGAGGTCCTCAAAGCCCTCTGTCCCCACCCTTTGTCTAGGCCACACAGAGCCCAAGACTCTCCATGTCTTCTTCCTCTGTGGGTCAGTCCAAACCCATTTCTGACTTTTAAAACATTTCAGTCCACCGTGGGTGATTGGAGAGGAGGGTTCCTCCGCCCTCCTACATCTGAAGACAGAATTTCCAACATTAGAGATTGGTTCTTTTGAGCAACAAGTGGAAACACACGAGCAGGGAGACGGACAGGGACTCCGGAACCAGGAAACAAGGATTTGAGTGTTGAATTCTCCGCAGCCTCTCTGACCGTTAGTATCATCATTTGAAAACAACTGGGCTGATCGTAATACTACTCCCCGAAGGCTGTAGGATGAGAGGAGATCACAAATGTGACAGCTCTGAACGTACTTTGTAAACCGTGTTCCAGTCAGCTAGGTTGCACGCACCAAGCAAACAGGAATTTGGATCTCAAGGAAATGGCAGGGGGGGACCCTGGGGGCTGGAGCACTTTGCCGGGGAGGTTGTGAAGAGTGGGGATGGGTCCAGGGAGGATCTTGAGGGCCCTGGGTGAGGGTGACAGCCTGAGCTTGTTGACAAGCCATGGGGGGTGGGGGTGGGGGCAGAAAAGTTAGATCTCGTCAACTTGGCGACAGGGTTTGGGTGAGATCAGAGCTTTCCTGGAGGGGAATCCACACCTGGGGCAGAGCGGAGACGAGGGGCCGATGACTTTCCTGTGCATTCCCCTTCTTGACCACGAGGTGTCACCACTGCAGCGGAAACATTCGTTTCCTTTGGATTTCAGAAATGACCCTTTCCAAAGGAAAAGGGGTTTAGGAGTCCAGCTCGGAATCATAGCAGGTCCCGTGGCACGTGGTGTGCACTGGTTCATCCCAGAACAGCTTCTGAGGCGCACTGTTTGCGGCAGAGAACCGGGGAAGGATAGCGCTGACTCAGCAGACTGGACGTCCCACCCTGAACAAGGCCTGGCGCTCAAAGCCGGGATCGCACAACCAAGAAGGTCCTCAGTGCCCGTGCAGTGTGCTGCGCGCACCTGACACATAGACTGAGTTTTACTCTCTCGGTTCTATGCCCAGGGTCGTAGAACATTTCCCAAAGTGTATTCCTTCAAGATGCCTCTTAAAAATAACAAAATACAATTCGTGTAGAAAATGAGACCGTTAATGCCATAACCCCCATCAGAGATTCCCAGTGCTCATTAGCATAGTAGGAGCTTTGAAAGCTCCGCCCTTAAAAAACTTATTGAACCCTAACTCAGTGACTTCTGAGCTTGCTTTGGTTATGGACCCCTTTCTCAGTACCATTGTAAGCAACGTTCCAGGAAATGCACTGAGGTGCGGGGTCCTAGGGTAGAAGGGGTCGCATTTTGTAGAGAATGAGCACCCAGAGAATAGTGCCCTGGGGTTCAAGGGAAGAATTTGAAGAAAATTCAAGTGAAGAGATTGGAAGAATAAAACTCCAAGTCAAAGTGCTGTTATTTCTAGGTAGTGAGATTATGAATGATTTTTATCTCACTCTTTCTTCTTTATAATGGCTTTCCTTGACCTTTCGGATGAGATTAAATCCCCTTGCCGTAAACTCGAATAGCACCTCCATTTTGCACTGTAACCGCCCATGGAATCACCATTGTCTCATGTCTGTCTGCCTTCCTTGACTGAAAGCACGAAGAGGACAGGGGGCCTCTTTATGTTGTTTGGAGCTGTGATCAACATATATTTTCTGTATTGAACTGAATTGAAATAGCTTTATGGCATATATAAATCCTTATGATGAGCATACATTGCTTTTATAATGCAAATTTTTAAAAGAAAGTTGCCAACGGCTCCAGGGAGTTCTAGACCTAAAACAGGATTTTGGTTCCGGCTTTGTCACTGCTTAACCTTGCAACCTTGAACAAGTCACTTAACTTCTCTGAGCCTCCAGTTACCTCCATGAAATTGGAGATTGAAATATTTGTTCCACCCACCATATCAGATTGCAGGAAGGATGAGAGGGCATCATATTTGGGGAGGGGTACTGAGCAGCACATCCAGACAAGGAAAATCTCAAGATACAATCTTGCACGAGAGTGGCTGTGGGGCAGGGAGAGAGAGGGCTGCTCCCCTGGTTGTGCCCATGGGACACCAGGGGAAGGAGCAGGAAATAAAGCTGGCGCGATTGCCAGGGCCAGATCTATAACATTGTCACCGTATTAAGAAGCTTGGACTTGTTACCGAAGGTGACGTGCAGCCTCTGAGATGTCGGAACAGAGCCGTGACAGGATCCTAGCTGCGATTTAGAGTGTCTCCTGTCGATGGAGTGTAAGCACCTGGCGGCAGCAGGGATCATACCAGGCTGGCCCTGCAGCTAAATTGGAGGACTCCAGTCTCCAACTCTTCTCTCAAAACAGCGGTCATGACAAAGCGTGTTTGAGGACAGGACATACACGTATGTCTAAGTGGAAGGCTCTCCCTTTCCAGATGAAGAAATCCACAGGATCGTAGATTTAGAAGAAAGGTCTGTCCGAGGACATTCTCGTCCACGCCCGCAGATTCGGGAGGACCAGGTGTTGGCGCGCCCCCGTTCCAGACAGGCGCCGCGGCCCAGGGAGGTTAAACGGCTTGCCTCAGTGGCAGCAGGGGCCGAGGGGTCTCTCCACGGACAGCCCGCGCCCGTCCTCCCCCAGCGCCGCACCGACACACGCGGTAATGCCCCAGTACACATACCGCACACGCCACACACACACACACACACTACACATCACTCACGTACCACACACATCACACACACACACACCACACATCACTCACATACCACACACATCACTCACACACCGCACACATCACACACACACTACACATCACTCACACACCGCACACATCACACACACACACTACACATCATTCACACACCACATACATCACACACACACACACTACACATCACTCACGTACCACACACATCACACACACACTACACATCACTCATGTACCACACACATCACACACACACACACACTACACATCACTCACACACCACACACATCACACACACACACACTACACATCACTCACACACCACACACACCACACACACACTACACATCACTCACATACCACATGCTACACACACCGCACACCACACTCCACATACACCATGCACTCACACATACCCTGTGCACCACACACACACTAGACACACACACCCATCCCCCACACCACACACACTGCACACACCCTACCTCACACACACCCCACACACCACACATCACATACACACTATATACACACTACACAGTGCACACATACACATACACATTTCACACACACACACAACACCCACAATACAGACCACACACACCCCACGCACAGGCCCCTTCGTGACGGCAATCCGGAGATCAGGGTTCTTGATTTCCCGAGCCTTCTTTCACGTGAGTCCGAGCTAAGAGATTCAGTTTCTGAAGATTATAAAAATGGTGATATTATCTTCTAATGAGGAAGCATTTTCATGTGGCGCACAATGCATGCTGTGTTTCCCGAGCGCTCACTACAGGCCGGGCGTTCTGCTGTGGGCTTCTATTTATTAGCAGCACCTCACTTTACGCTCACAGGCACCCTGTGAGGCAGGTACTGTTGTTTCCGTTATGGATGAAGAAATGAAGTTTCAATGAAGCTAAGTTACTTGCCAAAGGCGCCAGGTTTGTAAGTGTCAGAGCCAGACGTCGAACCCAGGGTCCCCGACTGAGTTCTCAGCCCTTCCGTGTTCAACGCCTGGTTTAATCGCCCTGCAGCCTCAGAGGTGCAGGTTTTCTCCATGTCACAGACGAGCCCGCACCTTGGAGCAGCCCAGTGGCCCAGCTCATACCTCCCTTAGAGTCCGGGCCTCCTGAGTCCTGGCTGTCCCCATTCCACCGGGTGCCCCTGTCCTCGCCCTGACCGTTCTTCCT